TTTTAAACAATTAAAAATCAAACAATCGAGATTTTTAAGATCGTGTTTTAAAACATTTGCCATCCCTAGCTATAATTAAATTATATTTAAAAATATTCATTCGCTCAAAGATTAATTATAACGCTTTATTACAAATGACTTTCTGGTTTTATTTGATTTTCATAGTTTCAACTTTATTATTCTACTTTATACGTAGAATTATTAAACCTCCTAAAGAATTGGAATTCATTCCAACTGTTCCTTTCTTTAAATACCTTTCAATATTATTGAGTAATGGAGGGCAGCATGAAATTCAAAAACTTATTCGTGAATCTGATCCTAATAAAATTGGTTTAGTAAAAGTTAATAAAATTTGTAATCTTACTTATCAATAAATTTTATTATTGTGAAAAAAGTTAATATTCGATTAATATCTTAGTATCTTAGCTTTGATTGGACAATTCATATAACTGACATCGAATATGCCAAAACATTTCTCTCTGAGAATGGTATATAGCATTTTCCTTTTAAGTTTTGAATTATCAGTTCATTTCTAAAAGATAACTTTTTTTTTTAAGTACACACAATTCAAAAGCTCGAATTTCCTCCCAGAAGTTCATTTAGTATTGCCGTTGGAAAAGGAATACTATTTTTGAATGGAAACGTAATTATCTTTTTATTAAATTTTTTTTATATTATTAAAATTCTCCATCTTTTTTGATTAGTTTCTTCATTTTAAAGCATTGGTTGCAACAGCGAAAAATAGCATCATCAGCATTTAATCAAATACATCGTCTTGATTCGGTTGGAGAATGCACAAATGTGTTAATAAAGTTGTTAAACAAATGGACAGATACTCCGATAGATTTGCATTCATTAACGAAACGTCTTGCTTTTCAAATTTTAGGAAAATTGGTTTTCACATATGATATGAAAGTATATATTTATATAAATAGTGAAGTCCGCTCCGCTATGATCATTTCATGAGGATAAAATCCGCTTTTATATAATAAAAAACATAAAATTCAGATTTCACCCTAACCCGATCTACAAAGCGGACTTCACTACTTGCAACTCAGGTTTCACCCTGTTTCATCGTCTTTTTAATTTAAAAACTAACTAAATTTTTTTTTAAAAAGGCACTGGATAGTTTAGAAGAACAACCATACTTTTTAAAAACATTTAACAAGACTTTTCAACATGCCAATAATCCATTTTTTATGATATTTCCATTTTTAAATTCACTTCCTCTTAAAAGAAATTTTGAATTTTTTTCATCAATTAAAGATTTTGATGATTTCATATTTAAAATAATTGAACAACGAAGACATGAAATGTCTAAAGAAAAAAATAAAAATGAAAATACTGATTTATTGGACGGAATTTTAGAAGCTACTAACCATGAAGGAGATTATTACACAAATAAGGAAATTAGAGATAGTCTAGTTTCTTATTTAATGGCCGGGTATGATAGTAAGTATTAAGTTTTTATCATTTAATACAGTAATATTAACTGAATAATACATACTGCAGTAACTTAATTTATTTATTTTATTTAATGTAGGTATTGCAACTGCAATAAGCACTAATCTTTATTATTTAGCAAAATATCCCGTAATTTAAAATTTTTATAATGTTGAATTTGATTTTATTGATTACTTGAGACTATTATAATGCTTTGCATTTTTTTCAGGATATTCAAAAAAAAGCTAGAGAGGAAGTAATTAATGTTCTAGGAAGTGCTTCAAATTTACCAACTTCTGAAAATCTTAAGGTATTTTATTTATGGCGGTTTGCAAAAAGGTGTGACCCTGTGATTTCGTGATGATGATAGCGGAAAATTTCCGAGATTTTAATTC